GTGTGTGTGTGTGTGTGTGTGAAATTAAATATATTTATACATTTCATTACTTTTCAACAAAAAGTAAGCATTTATGCAGATTTTACACATTTTTCCATGACATTTTCCTCAAATTATAATTGTTATTGTATATCATTCAGCATATAATTGTTTTTATACATCAAAAATATAATTAAAATATAATAGAAAAATAAGTAATAATAAATAAATTATTAATTTTCTTTAGGGCTGCATGATAAACCGCATGTGATAGTCATGCGCATCTTCGTCAGTAAAGCCGGTTCTGTGATTAGTAGTAAATCTCCATCACGTGCTTTCAGATGGAGCAGCATTTACTCCACAGAGCCGTAGTTCACTGACGAGCTACGCAATATCACGTTCATAATCAAAGGTGATTCATCGGCGATTATGAATGTGATATTGTGTAGCTTGTCAGTTACGGTTTACGACGCGTGGAATGGTGCGCTGTGATTGGTTGAGCGGATATATCGCATTCTGCAGAGAAGGGAGACTAGCATTTGTCGCGGTTTGGAAAAAAAGGGAGAAAACATGACAGAATAACTCGGCGGATATTGCATCTTGCGTACAATTTAAAATTGACTTTTCAATACCGACCAGATACAATACTGATTTTGGCGGGAACTCAATTAAAAAAAAGGCGTTTATCGCATTTTGGAACCAAACTCTTCATATCTTATTAATTTTTACTTCTTTCAATCTCATATATTTTAACTAATTAAATATTGCTTGTTCCACAGCTATAGCCATATTTGCATGTTCATACTTTTTAACTGCATAAATTTAATTTATTAATTTATTTTGACGTTTTTATTTTGATATTTTCAGTTCTCATTTTAATTTTAAAGTTTTACTAATTTGTTGTGTGTTTTTGTCATTTTTAGTTTTTTGTTAATCTATATAGTTTTTATTTAATATATATGTTCAGTTTTTATTTTATTTTCAGCTGAAGTTTTAGTAATTTGTTGTAATTTTTATTTCTTTTTTATTTCTTTTAATTTTAGTTAAAGCTGTTTTTGCCATTTTTACTGCTTTTTTTTTTTTTTTTAATAGGTCTATCTATATAGATTTAATTAACTTTTATTTAGTTTTACTTTTAGTTATTATAAAACATCAAGTTAAATAAAAATGAGAAATGTATCATTGGCAACAAGCTAAAATAAAATAAGTTTAAGGTTTCTATATATATACAACAGGAAGCCCTGAGCTCTTAAAATACCCACCATGTGTACAGTTAAATGGAGACGTATGTGCTATGAACACACCAGTATTACAATAAAAGAGGGGGGAAAGACACCCACATCCTTTAAAGAGAGAAAAACAGGGCCAATACATCCTGTTGCTTAGTCTCGATTTGGCTAACACTATCACATTCCACACATTTAGCATATGTGGGCAGAGGAAACTCAGGAAGAAGACAAGCAGAATCTCAGCAGGAGGTCAGAAAAGATCCCCGATTGAAGTCTCTGTACACTCATAAGTACAGTGGGGTCCAAAAGTCTGCAAACTCCAGAGATGATGCTTACGTTTTTAAATGTATTTTACTTTATTTAATAACATAGAAATACCAAGGAATCTTCAGTATTTTTCACATCATAATGTTTCTTTGTTTTAACTTTTTCCAAATTCTAAAACTGTTCATTTTCAGTTTTAAACAGGATTTTTAACAAGGTCTCTGTACTTCAATGTACATGCGTTTGAGTATTTAGTTAGACTTAAAACACCACAAAATTGCATCTTGATACCTTCGAGGTCTCGTCACATAGGCTACTGTTTGTGAGTGATATCATCTAGCTAGGGGGCTGATGAGGGTAGGATGCTCACTTGATGTGGCTCACTGGATGCTCACAGCTGTGCTTTAAGCTAATTGGATTAATGGGAATCAACTGACATGGATCGACTGATGTCCACACATCTATCAACTCCTGCCATCAGAAACTCATGCAATACATCAACAATGCACACTGAATACAAATCCACTTCTGACCAGAAGAGATTAGGGTCATAACGATCGGGAAAGGTACTTCCACAAATCTATAACAACAACTGACTAAAGCTTGTGCGTATCACTAAAGCAAATAGGGAAGAGTCAATGTATCCAGGTTGTCAATAGGAAATATTCTCTTAAAAATAAAAGGTTATTTTTTGGCACCAATGGTTCCATGAAGAACCTCTAACATCCATGGAACCTTTCCATTTCACAAAAAGTACTTTATAGTGGAAAAAAAGGTTCTTTAGATTTTAAAATGTTCTTCACACTAAGAAAACAATGGTTCTTTTAGGACCTTTAAGAAAAGGTTCATTAGGGAGACAAAAATAATAATTCTGTGGCATTGCTGTGAAAACCTTCTTTTGGAACCTTTATTTTTAAGAGTGTAGTAGGGAAGTGGATGTTCTACTTGTACATCCAATGGAAATTAGGACACAGGTGCCTTTGAACTGACTAGACTTTAGAATTTTGAGTTTTGAATTTAAAAATGCTGAACCCCCACAAGAATTTTGAATCTGAATTGACTGAATTGCGTTCAACAGTCACAGAACAGAACATTTTAATTAGTCCAAACAGTTCATTTTAATTAATTCTAAAGAACATTTTTTTTTGTGATTAAACATTTTTCAAGTTATTATTTATATATCTTCATAAGTTAGTTAAATAGTCAAAATTAGCCATATTGTTTTGCATAACCATAAAATGTAGACATAAAAATGAAAATCTATTAGTTAATTATTATATTGAGTAAATACAAAAAAGTAAATAAAATAAATTTTACATATATATATATATATATATATATACAGTATATATATACATATATAATAAACATTGTTTCTTCAGGTTAAATGTGCTTGATTGTCCTAAAAATAAGCTTTAGCTCTTTGAGGTTTTTGTGCACTCAACTGTCTGCAGTCTATTGGTAGATAAAGTTAAACTCTGCTAAACTTTGTCACATCACCGACTCTTCCTGAAAGGAATCAGCGCTGGTTGTGTTGACGCTGTAAATGCCTCGTTTGATCACAGACTGTAAACCAGCTCAGAGCAGCTCGGTCTCTATCAGACGTACCTACAGCGCTGAAGGCCACGAATCTGTTCTCCCGGGGGTTGATGCTCCCGTCGTAGGGCCGGTTTCCCCACATGTGCGCGGCGCTGTTAACCAGCCAGGTGGCGTTGAGCACAAGTGCGTATCGGAGGAGAGCAGGGACGAAATACGCCACCCACAGAGACTCGCCCCACACCAACCACGGCACGAGCGTCGGCACGGAGAAGCACATCAGCAGCACAGACGACTTGTAGAACCTGACACAGTTCAATCAGACTCAGTTAAACAGTGTATTCTGGCCAAAACTGCCATTCTGACTGACATATGTGAGCCTGCAGCACAAAAGCAGTGTTAAGTCGCTGGGGTATATTTGTAGCAATAGCCAACAATACATTGTATGGGTCAAAATTATACATTTCTCTTTTATGCCAAATCGCACAGCGTTGTGAGGGTCGGCGTCCGTCTCGGAGTATTTGTGGTGAACGCGGTGATCTCGAGACCATTCGTAGATGTCATTCTACAGAGAGAGCAGGAGATGAAGAAGCGCCTCATTTCTACACTACTAATGAAAAAGACTGCAACTCTGCTTTGTGCCACTAGCAGCACACAAATGACACATTACATCTGTAACACAAAAATACATGGAAGCCCATTTTTGCCACTAAATAAAAAAGGTAATTGTGACTTTTCTGACTTTTTTCTAGCAATTCTGACTTCTTTTCTCAAAATTTTGTGAGATGTAAACTCTCAATTGCGAGTGATAAAGTCCAATTCTGAGGAAAAAAGACACAACTGCAAGTTTATATCTCACAATTCTGACTTTATAACTTGCAATTGTGAGGAAAGTCAGGATTGTGAGATGCAATTACCTTTTTTATTTTTTGTGAATAGACGGAAATGACAGAAATCAAATGCACAAATAATAAACTTCATAGAAAGCGAACAGCGTCGAACGTTTCTTACAACTTTTACAGGTTCACTAGCAGTCACATGTTTAATCCAGGGTTATTCTAGTTAATACAATAAATGTTAACTGAAATAAAAAAATAAATAAAATTAAATAAAATTAAATAAAATTAAATAAAATAAAATTAAATTAAATTAAATAAAATTAAATAAAATTAAATTAAAATTAAAA